TTTAATTGAAGTAATCTGTCAATGTAAACACAATCTAGCACCTTCATTATTTTAAGCATTGCTGTGATTGCTCCAGAGATTAAACATAAATGGACACAAGTTTGTATACCTATCTGAATAATTTTTTTTTTAGACTGGATATCAGTCTTGCATCTCTGAACAATTTCCAAATTGTCAGTTGTCAAGCAAGGAATTATTTCTTTGTACTAAAACAAGGCACAATTAATTTAGTTAATTAGACCTATAAACACTGAGAAAGATTTGTTTGAACTTATAGAATAAGTAGTAAGCATTGATTGTGTAGAACATGCAGAACGACACTTTTCACTGTATACTAGTACATGTGGCAACAATAAATGAAACTGAAACTCATGGCATGCAGTTTAAAGGATATTCCATTTGCTGTAATGAATGATTTCAGATAAAATGGTTAAATATAAAAGAATCTGTACTTGTAATGCCATTGCAACTATAATTACATGATATATAATTTGGCAAAATAGCTGACTCTTTAAAGGAGGCTAAAGCAATGGCTGCAAGGTGTCAATCGTTGATTCACTTCAGCAACATGCTATCTCAGCATCCACCACAAAGGGAGATATTTAGAATTTTTGATTAACCCTTGGACAACACAATGAGTCCTCCTAAAGGTATTAGATTTTAAAACTTATGAGAAAAATAGGAGAATAGAAGGACCCCCCCAGATAATTTCAGCCTAAGTAACTGGTTTGTGGAACAAAGATCCATTAAAAGTTAATATAGTAGCCATCTTATTTTGTTCTACGTAATCAACCTGTGGGACACAGTTTTCAACAAAACCTCGCATGGAAGGGCTTTGAGACATCATCAGAGAGTGCTCTCAACCAGAAAGTTTGAGGAAAATAGCTTTCAGGAATTTTGAAAGAGCCTTATTGAAAGAGTTCAAGCAATCAGCAAGTGCTGTTATTTCAGGACTAGTATGGCACAAGCAACCCTCTTCTCTCAGACAAAGCCTGCTGTACATACTGAGTCCACCTACACAAGAAACTTCAAACTAATTGACTACAAAGCTATTACAACTGCTAAATTCTGATTTCAAGTTTATAATTTGTTTCTCTTCATAAAAAGAGAATCTTAAAGCATGTAAACATCCAGGCTTGAAACGATAGTAGTCTGATCTTACTTTCTGTAACCCTAACCCTAACCCTAAATCTTCTAAGATTTAATTGCTTAGTAACTTTCAGCAATGTAATAAATTAATTGTTGACCTTTGTTAAAAACTCTAATTTTTCTAGTTATTTTTTAAAATCCGAACACTTAGAAAGAAACTGGTGCTAAATGAGCTATATAAATTTGTAATTCATAGATCACTCTGCAGACATGCATTGTGTGGTTATGACACCATTTCGTTTATCAGAACACGGGCAGTGAAGGACAGAATCTAAAGCCTAGTCTTTATGTATTGAAGCTTTTATATACAGAGACATACAATGCATATCATGCATTTGTACCAACAATTCCTCTTTTAGTTTGTTCCTATCTATGCACAGATGAATCCACAATTAATGCCTACTGCCTCAATGAACATTCCTATGATACACAATTTGCACTCCTGACACTTCACAACTGGTGAATACTTTATGAATTAGTCATGTTTTGGATAAACCTCAATACCACTTTGGCACTTTGAAATCCATGCAATATTTTAAACACAAAGCTTTAAGCATCTGGCTTTGGAATTTGTAGTCTAAAGTTGATGATGAGTATTTTATTGCTGTGTTCTTGTCTGAGTAAATTTAGCTCAGACTGATTGTAAATCCAGGGACAATTCAGCAAAAAAAGAAATAATCATAGAATCCCTACAGTGTGGAAACCGGCCACGCGGTCTACCAAGACCTCTAAAGAGCATCCCACTCAGTTCTGCCCCATCCCTGTAACCCCGCATTTCCCATAGCTAATCCATCTAACCTACACATTCCCTGGACGCTATGCCCAATCCACCTAATCTACACATCTTTGGACTGTGGGAGGAAACCAGAGCACTCCCAGGAAACCCACGCAGGCACAGGGAGAATGTCCAAACTCCACATAATCAGTCGCCCGAGGGTGGAATTGAACTTGGGTCACTGGTGCTGTGATGTAGCAGTGCTAACCACTAAGCCACCATACTGTCCCGTTTTTCTTTTCTTTTTTGGCTAATCCAGCTAACCTACACTTCTCTGGACACTGAACAATTCAGCTTGGCCAATCTACCCAACCCGCACATCCTTGGACTGCAGGGGGATACCAGCGCACCCAAAGGAAACCCCTACAGACACAGAGAATGTGCAAACTCCACACAGACAGTCGCCAGAGGCTGGAATTGTACACCGGTCCCTGTTGCAGGGATAAGAATGCAGTCATTAATATGCTGAAATGTACATTGTGCTTCTGCCTTCCATTTTCTTCATTCTGTCCCTTAATTTTAATAAATTTAGTTTGTTATAATGTACCTTACCCTTAAAAATATGAGCTGTACCCTTTTTTCTGATTTTCTGTTTCTCTACAACCCAAAGAAAGAAGCTTTAGAGCTTCCTCAGAATGTAAACAGCACAATTATACAGGAATCCCTATGATCCAAATACAGTATCTGAATTAAATAGTGTTTCCAATTACAATCCTGTTAGGTTTAATGACTGGTTGAAGTCCCACCCAGCATATAGAGATACTGTGTTAAAATTGTCAGGATGCTAATAATACAGTCCCTCTGTCTCTACCTTACCCATTTTTTTTATTAAAGATGTGATCAGTTAATGGCAGAACTGACTCCAGGCTAAATAATTCTGTGTTTATCAGTGGTATTTCTGCTTATCTTTTTAATGCTCTGAAACAATTTAAACAGCACTGCTTGGACTAGCTGACAGTTTGGAATTAATAATCCCTCAGTTTCGTCAAATTACAGATCTATAAAATAATCTGGCGCCTTCAACATCGCATGAATAGTCTGCCACCACAGGGACTATTAATCCATTTGGCTCGACGGGCCAAAATAAAACAGAAAATTGAAACAGTGTAAATGAAATCATTGAAAGTACTTAACATTTAAATAGCACTTATCTGCATACTGTTCTTTTCATCGAACAAAGTAACATGATGGACTTGATCTACTGTTTTCGCCAATAAATGTTGATCTCATTTGAATTGTCGGAAAGGGAGCATCCAGAGTTCTGTGCATACGTTCTACTAACTGGTTCAGAGTAGCACTGATAGAAGCTTGAGAGGCAGGTTACTCAAAGAGGAAATGGGTGAGGGGGAAGATGGAGTTGGTGGAGAGGGAAAGTCAGATTACCTGAAATAAAATCACTTTTGGGTTCAACTGTGCAGTTATGCAGTGAAAAGGGGAGATAAAGAAAAAAATATTTTATCATTGAACCATGAGATAAAGTCATATGGCATGGAAGCAGACCCTTCAGTCCAACGCATCCATGCTGACCAGGTTTTCCAAACTAAACTAGTCCCATTTGCCTATATCCCTCTAAACCTTTCATATTCATGCACCTGTCCAAAATTCTTTTAAATATTGTACCTGTACACGCCGCTACTACTTCCTCTGGCAGTTCATTCCATATACAAACCACCTTCTGTGTGGAAAAGTTGCCCCTGAGGTCCCTTTCAAATCTTTCCCCCTCTCACCTTAAACCTATGCCCTCTTGTTCTGAACTCCCCTACCCTAGGGAAAAGACCTTGACTATTCACCTTGTCCATGTCTCTCATGATTTTATAAACCTCTGGAAGGTCACCCTCCCAACCTGCTACATTCCAGGTGGAAAACTGTCCAAGTCTATGTATCACCTCCTCATAACTCAAACCCTCTAGTCCTGATAACATCCTTGTAAATTTTTTCTGCACCCTTTCCAATTTAATAACATCCTTCCTGAGGCGGGGCAGTCAGAACTGTATGAGATGTTTAGATTTAGATTCTACTGTCACATGTACTCAAGTACAGGAGTACAGTTAAAAGTATATAAATGTCGCCACACATCTTGGGTACGAAGCTACCTAGGTACAAAAAACTTTGAAACAAAGTACTAAAAGAAAACAAAGTTTACAAAAGTTAAGCATTATCTTCATAGGATAAGAAGAAAAATAAAGAAATAAGGTAATAGTTAATATTAAAGTCCTTCTTAATAGAAAATAGAAAAGTAAAGGAACAAAATTAAAAGTTCAACAGTCCTTAAGTCCTTGGCTTAGCTTGCTTTCCAGGAGACCTCAGGTGCCTGTTCTCGCCACCGCAGGTAACATATGTTACAGCATGGTAAAAGGCCTTTTGGTCAATCATAGCTGTTTGGGCTGTTTGACACTTTTAAATCCATCCTACATCCTTTTCAAACATTTAGCCATTTACCCTTTTAATACCATTAAATTCATCAGTAAGCCTACTAGGCAACGTTGATCAGAATGTTTCAGAGGGAATTAAATTGTTACAGAAGCATATTTAGGTACACAGAATTTGTGGAGAGAACAAGATAGTTAGGATTACTAGTCTTTTCTCCGAGATAATCATCTTGTCTGAGAAAGGATCCACGTCAGAAATATTAACTTACCTGCTGTCTCCACTCGGACATAAATATTGTTTTTAAAAAGTACTCATTTAAACTCTTAGAATTCTATTGGGTAACTATTTAAACATTAATAAGTGTGTTTACTAAAAATAAAATATTGATTCCTTTCTTTCAACTCTGTACTTTCAATTATATTCACCAAAGATGAAAAAAAAAGCAATGGGTAAATCTAAAGGAACAAATTGTTGTAATGTTCTGCATAATATACTGAAACGTTACTGATGACTTTCTGAAAAAAAGTCGTCTTTCTGATGCAATTTTTCTAATCTGTTTTAAATGTTAACAGCAGTAAATTAATGGGAAAACCATTTTACTATTCTATATTCCGATTCTCCAGAGACGTTGATCTCCACAGATACAGCATTTGCTGTATTGCTGTTTACTTACTTTTACTTAGCATATCTCTATATTTTTTTTCAGAGACGTCTTCCCTCTTTTGCACAATCCCAAAGCCTTCAGTGCAGTTATTGACCTGTTTGAAGATCACTTGAAAAAGACGTTTCCTGTGATTGATTTATTTGTTGGTAAGTCAGAGTTGTATTAAAAGAGATCTTGATCACCAAATTAGAACTTTTACAAGACTGTGGCTTGGGAAGAGCATTCAACACAAAGATGACAGTCTTCTCACAATGGTTCCATGTGACAGAAGTTGCCAACCCGGTATTAGATTCTTTTTGGTCGGCAGTGCTGAGGCATGTTACCCAATGGCAGAGTGGATCAAGTCAATACCCACTACCCTAAGTGTTGCATCCTAAACTCTGATCAATTGAATGGAAATATTGACAATAGACTTCGGTTTCTAACAAGTGGTCTGTTAAGCAAGTTGAGGATAGCAGAGTCAGATAGCTTTTCAATATTCATTAGTTCGTAATGTTTTTGGAAAAGCTCACTGCAGTGGTGTAATTGAGCCTTGTTAACATCAGTGCAGTTACATCCTCCCAAGTTATTGCTGTCAGGGGATAGTGAGATTTTTCTTCTTTGAAAGAAAAATAAAACTTAAAAGGAAGTATAAAAGAAAGTTCAATTATGATTAAACATGTCTGTGTTCAAACTGGTATAAACTTGAAAAGGAAGAGACCCAATGGTTAGTCTATGTTACAAAAAAAAGTCTTAGATACAATCTCTTAAGAGCAGAATAGAATATGCAGTAGCTGAAACTAGTTCATCACCTACTTTTCCAAATTGCTTCCCACTTTCAATGAATTAATGGATAGTTGTTGTTAGTAGTACTTATTATATGTAAAAGATTAAATCTTGTCCTCCCAGGAAATCTTGTATGTTTGGTTTACAAGGAGGTAATACTGTTATATATATTACAAATTGCTACAGTCATTCTTATTTTTGTGCTTGCAGGGTTAGATGCCCGTGGATTCCTATTTGCCCCAATTCTGGCACAAAAGTTTGGAATTGGTTTTGTGCCAGTTCGAAAGAAAGGAAAGCTGCCGGGGCCAACCTTGTCTGTGAGCTACAGTTTAGAATACGGAGAGGTAAGTCTTAGTGCATAATCCTGATTTTATTTTCTTAAATTAACAATACAGTCTGTTAATTAGTGTCAGAATGTCACAATCCTTCTAAAAGGCTTGCTTCTTTGTTTGAAGGCTGAAGTCGAGTTGCAACATGATGTTATTCAAGCAAATCAGAAAGTTGTCATTGTCGATGATTTGCTTGCAACAGGAGGTATGCAAGACATGATTAGCTTTGTGCATTGCCTTTACACTGATATGGACTCAGGATTTGCTGGGTAGGGCATCACAGCAGTGTGTTCCAAGGCCAATAGTAGTGTGGTGAAAATTATCCACCAATTTCCTTACCACAATTTGTCAGATTATTTAAATTTCAATTGTGGTGAATGCCTTTAACTTGTTTATTTTGCTAGCACATTCTGGGCTATAATAGTCACAAAACGATGTGAGAGGACTACAGTAATGTTAATGCAGCAACTGGGTTACTGCATTTTTTTTCAGCTAAAGCTTCTTTTGAAAATCAAGGTATTAGAAAAATTCTGGACTAAGTACAAAATTATAAATATTTAATTTAAAGACAATTAACTAAATTCTATATTTTTATCTTTTGGTGCAGGTACTCTGTCAGCCGCCTGTGACTTGCTGAACAAAACGGGAGCTAATATTCTTGAATGTTTGGTAGTGATTGAAATTAAGGCTCTGAATGGTGCAAAGAAATTGAATTGTGTGCCTCTGCACTCACTTGTGCAGTTCTAGGTTGTTGTTCCTTTTTCTGAATTGGGATTACTCTGCAGTATTTCATTCTGTAATAGTCAGATGGATTTACAGTTTTGAGGGCTGATTCCATTAATTCCATTTTTAATATATAGCAATTTTGTCATATTGGATAAAACAAAAATTTTCAAATTTTTACGTCATTTGATTTGCGCAGACTTATGCCTATTAACGCATACCCTTCTACTTCCAACTTATACCTCAGTTAGTGTGATTTTAAAAGGAAATTAAAATAAGTTAAAGGGTGTTAAACTTTAAATTGCCTAGTTTTAAAATTTATCCAGTTTAAAACCATATTTTAAATGCACATGAACCATAAACACTGAACAGTTGGACTCTAGAAAAGAGAAGCCACTTGTAATTTGTCATTTCTACAAAGACAACTGGTGTTTTTACACAGTTCACTTCTTTCCATTTCACTATTAGTCAAAGGTTCGTTTGGTGGTGGCTGTCCTCTGGTATCTGGCCCGACTGACAAGGAATGTGACACAGTGGTATGTCCCCACCTCTGGTCTAAAGGCCTGGGTTCGAATCCCACCTGCACCAGAGATTATAATAATGTCTCTGAACATGTTGGTTAGAAGGAAATCGAGAGTTTAAAAAAAAATGCCCAACTGACAATTAATTCATGTGAGCCACATCATTGAGTTGGAGATCTCAAAGGGTGAGAGTAATTTTTGGGGTGTGTGGGCAATTGTAACATCTCATTATCTCTGCTATGGCTGAGAACTTTTTGAGCTCAAAGACCATCTTGGCCTATGGGTGAACTACTCTCTGAGCTAACCAACCTGAGTTGATGCAGAGTGATGCCAACAGCATGGGTTCAATTCTTGCATTAGCTGAGGTTACCATGAAGGACTCTCCTTCTCAACGTCTTCCCTCACCCAAGGTGTGATGACCCTCTGGCTAAATCGCCACCAGTTATCTCACTCAGAGAGCAGCTCTGTCACCTGGTATGGTGGCTTTATCTTTACAAATTGAATCACTGGGGAATCCCACAAGCTATTTAAATGACCACAGCACCTCTGTCTCAAACACAAGGTTTCGTAAGCTTGATCGAGCTGCCTGTCTTGATCTGCCAGACATCAAATTGCGAGGCTGGCATGAGCTGACTGGTATTTATTCAGTAGAGTGCAGCTCTTCATCTGTTTAATTATATTGAATTTTACTGCAGGTCTCAACTGGAGAAAGCTTGTTACAATTTTCATAATGTAGATGACTTCAATTATGTTCAGTTTTGACAAAAATAACATTCCAAAATAAACATAAAATGTATTAAGAAGGATTTTCAGTAGTTTAAGAAAGCACATTTTTCATAAGGATAGAAAATTAGTGGGGTGCCTGTCATTCCTGTGATGGAAACCCAGGATTGAGGCACTGGCCTTGGTTGGATCACATTTCACAGCTCAAGCTGCAGGTGTGAGTTGGTCAGTTTGAGGTATTAGTTAGTTCTCGCCCACAATAATGTTAATACATGGGGCAATGAAAGATCTGGACTGGTGGCAGCTCACAATATTTTTATGGATCCAGGTGCAGCACTCTTTCCAATCTGCAAAAGCAAAATGTCAGAAACGTTTGTGGCTGAGAGCTGGACATAGAAAATTGTTTCCAAGTGTAATTGAAATCTCTGATATTGACAATGACTTTATGCAGTCATTCTGACTTATGATACCAGATTTTTGCTCCTGGCAAATGTGAAAGTTGCCCCAATTTAAGTTTAATTTCACTGACTAGTATAAGAATATTTTATCTAGTTCCCCTGAATCAGTCAGCTAATCAAAACTGCATTGTCCAATGGTGGCAGCTTATTTCAGGAGTTCTCAACCAACTGTTTAAAAGATGACTGTTAACTTGTTTAGTGAACAAATGGAATGGTACTATAACCAATGATACTGGACTAGTAACAGGTTCACTAGTTCCATCACAGCAAATCTGGTAATTTAGTTTCAAAAACTGACCATAAAATTTGATGAATTATTGTAAGAACCATCAGTCTGCGAGCCAACCTCATTCTTGGGTTTTAGGAATGATGGGGAACCAAGTACATCAGTGGATGCTTCAACCAGAAGGGCTCAGCCAGCTCCTGAGTCAATATTATCCCAGTCTTCAGCCAATTCAATTCCCTCCGCGCTCATCAAGAAACACTAAAGGCACTGGATACCACAAAGGCTGTGGGCCTCAAACATTCAGCCACAGCCCCAGCCAATTTGGTCCAGTGCAGTCACAGCATCATCGACACAGTAGAATGGAACATTGTCTAGGTATGTCTTGTACATACACAGTAGTACAAATCCAACTCAGCCAATTACTAAACGGTCTATTCTGTATTATCGAAGTGATGGAAGGTATTGTCAACATTGTAAGCGTCACTTGATAACATCAAAAATAACCTGCCTGCTACCATTCAGCTTAGGTTCCACCAGGTCCAGATCCTGTGACAACTTTGGTCCAAAATGGACAAAACTGGATCCCAGAGGGGCAAGTAACTGCAGTTGAGATCAAGGTAGCAGTTCACAGTATGCCACAAGGATCCCTAACAAAACTAGAAATGGTAAAACTCTGCTGGGTGGAATCATCAGAAAGGAAGATAGTTGCTATTGAAGGTCAATCATCTCAGTTCTAAGACATTACTGCAGGGCTTCTTACAGTAGTCGCCTAGGCCCAAACACCTTCAGGTTGCTTTATTAATGACACTCCCTGCATTACAAGGTCAGAGATGGAAGTGTTCACTGATGATCAGCTAATATTCAGTACTAGTCGTGATTCTTCAGATAGCTAAAAGTACCAAGACCTTGACAACGTTCAAGCTTGGGCTGATAAATGGCAACTGGTAGGTAATTACCGTCTCCAACAACAGAATCCAAGCATCACCCCTTGGCAAAACCATAACTGAATTCCCCATTGACATTCTAGGATTTACAATTTTGGGAAAAAAAAAATTCAAATGGATCAGCCATATAGCATGGCTACAAGCGCTTGTCATAGGCTGGGAATTCTACTCTAACTGAATCAGCTCCTGATTTCTCAAAGCATGTTCACTGTCTATAAGGCACAAGCCAAGGGTACGACTGAAAACAATCCAATGCCTGGATGACAGCAACTCTGACAACACTCAAAAAGCTCAACTCCATCCAAGTCAATGACTACCACCTCATCTAACATCTACAACTTTTATTCTGACCCCACTCCAATGCAGTGGCAGCACTGTACACCATTTATAGCAGGTTCGTTAGACAGCACTTTCCAAATCTGTGACTTTGATTACATAGAACAAGGTCAGCAGCTGCATGGTAACAGCACCACCTACAAGTTCCCCTTTAAGCCTCACGCCTGACTTGGAATTAGGTCATTGTTCCTTCACTGTTGTTGGGTCAAAGCCTTGTCCTTGCTCCTTAATAGCAGTATAGGTGTACCTATGAGGTTGTAGACGTGCTCGTCAAGCCGGTGGGTTTGGTTGCAAATGTTTCATACGAACGTAAAGGATCCCATACCCAAAACCAGCAAAACTGGTGTAATATACAAAATATCGTGCAAAGACTGTGAGAAAAACTACATAGGCCAAACCGGAAGAAAACTGACAATACAGATACACGAACACCAACTAGCTACCAGGAGACACGACCAATTCTCACTTGCCTCACTACACACGGACAAAGAGGGATACGCATTTGACTGGGACAACATATCCATAATCGTACAAGCCAAACAGAGACACACCAGGGAATTCCTGGAGGCCTGGTATTCCAACCGGAACTCCATCAACAAATACATTGAATTAGACCCGGTGTACAAACCACCGAGAAACAGAACGGGAAGTAATACCAACCACCCCAGCAAACTGAGGCATATAAATAACAAGCGGGACAGAACACTAACACTTCACTGGAGGCGCACTGACGATGTTACCTAGCAGGGTGACGAAATGTTTGCAACCAAAACCACCAGCTTGGCAAGCATGTCTACAACCTCATCCGTAACCCAAACTACACATCTTCTCAAACTTTAAACACCTGAGTGTACCTATACCACGTGGGATTGCAGCAGTTCACCACCTTCAAGGGCAGTTGGTGGTGGGTAATCAATACTGTCCCAGCCAACAACACCCATGTCCTGTGAATGACTTTTGCCATAATTTTTATTTACAATTAAATGATTTCTAGTCTGAATAAAAAAACTTCCAAATATGTAACATTTAATCAAAATTTATCAATTTAAAAGTGTTCCTCCACACGAACATTCCATTTACTTTAACATCAACCAATGATATCTTTCATTACACAGACCAATGTCCAAGTTTATATCCTGCTATTCATTTTGAAACAAAGCATTAAGAAATGTCTGCTCCTGAACATAATTCAACTTTTAGAACTGGCAGGACGAAGCTTAATTCATTTCTCTCCCATTTTTAAATTAGCATCAGCAATTCCCAACATCGAGGATGGAATTTACAATAAACCCAAAGATTGTACCAAGATTGTCCCAAAAGAAATAGTACATAATTGCAGAACAAACTGCCCAAAACAGTTCATATCAAGAAGCAAAACACATCTTTCTCCTATATACAGATCTTCATAGTTCACAGTTTTATATTTGGCTTTCAAACTTGAGCTCTGTACAGAACTTTCATGTCCATTTAAAAACTTATGCTTTTTCTTCCTCTTTAATCTTTTCTGCAATTTTCTCTGCAACCACATTCAACTCTATGTTCTTGTTTAGCTTCAGGTACACATCTTTACGGATTTTATGGATGCTCAGCCAGTCTGGAACAACATCAGCTAGTAATCGCAAATGTTTCTCCATATCATCTGAAATTTAAAAAGGGGGGGAAAAAAGTCACTAAACACAAATTCCAATAGTAAGGCATTCAAACAGCTGATACATGAAATTCTGAAGCAATGTTTTAAATTAATATCTAATCAAAGGTATACAAAATTAGGTGCCCAAAGGGGCTAGTCTCATTAAAAATAAGCAATCTTTCAGAAGATGGAAATGGTTAAGCCAGTCCCCTTGATTCAAAATCCTAAAGCTACATCATTCACGTTTAGTTGATTTAAGACATACCTCTCTAATAGTCTTCATGTAAATCTGCTCCAGGCATTGACTACTCTTTCTGCATACAGTTTCCTGATATTACCAAATTTATCTTTTCCAGTCTGTTATTG